TCGATGATTTTTGTTGGTATATAAATTATATCACTGTAGCTAGACATATTATTGGGCTGTCATTGTCAGAATCTGCCTCTTCATCTTTTTTATTCGTAGGAACTAATTTGTTTTGCCTAATTTGGTTTCCTTTCATTAGCTGTTCTTTTCCTTTTTCTTCTATATAATTTAATTAATGCTGGCTTTATTCCATAGCAGCCTTTTCTAATTTTATTTTCAGTGAGTCTTCTTCAAATTCTACCAATCTTAGCTTTTTTTATTTGCTGTATGGTTTTCCTTATCTATCCAGCCTCATATTAATTTAGTATCCTGTTCTTTTAGTAATCTTCTCATATCTTAAAGTGTTTACAATGTTTTTTATCCTCAATTGCTTATTTTTGTTCTTACTTGTCTTTAGTTTCGTTGTTCGTTTTTCCATTTAATTGCCTTATTTTATTTCAAAATCCTCTTTGGGTAACCTTGTATGATTGATATGGTTTAATTCTGAAGTCTTTTGATTTCGTTTCTTTTGTAAATGTTTGCTTTTTTTTTTTGTTTTCCAGTTTCCCATTATTATAATTTTTGACTTTTTTCTTTTACAAGTTCTGGAGTTTCCTTTAGTTTTTTTTTTTGTAGAAATATTAAATTTTTTCCTTTTTGTTTGCTTCTATTGTATATTGGGTATATTTGTCTGAAACTTACCTTTTCTTCTAATGTTGAAGTTAGGAACATTTTTCTTGAGATTACTGGTTCGAATTTTGTGATTACTGATTTAAATTATTACTCCTTTGCCAATTCTTCCTTTCTACATTGACTTCCACCCTTTTTACATTGACCTCCTTGTACTCCTGAAAAATTGATACATTGTAATTTGTGGTGATAATTTTCTTTTCTCATGTGTTATTTTTCACTTAAATCCATTATTTGTATTCCTTGTACCAAATATTTATAAAAACAAATTAAAGACAGATACAAAAGTATTAAACTCAAAGTAGTATTTTTTAACACCTAATTTATTTCCGGCAATATCAAAGTTCATGAAACAATGTAATTTTTTGTTTCGCAATTTGTGATTTTTAATTAAACGAAGCCCTACATTGACAATCGTTAAAAAAGAAACGAATAATTGATGGACATATAATTGGATTGTTTTACGGTCACTAATTTATCAACCGTTAGCGAAAAAAACTTGTTATCGTTTAAAAAAAAATGAAATCTGTTTAAGCAGCTTTAAATTGTTTTTAAAAGAGAATATGGAATATTTGCTGAATTAAATTTGCAGAATATAAATTTTATTATGTTTATAAAATTGAATTAATTTCTGTCAATTAGTATAGCTGTTTTTTGTTGGCAAAAATAAAAAAAAACTCGTTTCAGAAACAAATATTTTATCGGATACAGTCGCGTCAAAAAAAAGGGAAAAAACGCGAAACATTTTTTATTGTTCCGTGACAAGGATTTAATTATGTGAATGTGCCTGTCAGTTGACACATTCCCAAAGGGAATTAAAACTAGAGAAGAATTGAAATATAGCATCGCACAAAAGCTTTCCATTTTGTTTTCCTGGGCTCGTCTGACTATGTGTCTCCGAATAACACTGAAGCCTATTGGCTTATTGTGTTTTACCCCATGTTAGTTCATAGCACCCACTCTATCACCTTTGTACCTTGTACAAGTTTGTACAGATCCTTAGGTGAGTGGGTTCTATACGTTGTTGGATCAACTTGGGGTTGTCCAAAAAGAGCCTGTCTTTTGCGATCTAGAGCTTCGCATTCGCACAGTATGTGTTTGGCCGTTTCTGGTTTCTTGTGACATAGTCGGCACATGAGTTCCCCATTGTACATGCCAATTTTGTTCAAGTGTCCCTTTACTGGGGCGTGCCCAGTCATGAACCCTGTTATCACTTTTAACTGGTTCCTATTCATTAAGAGTAGTTCTCCAGTTCTTTTGGGACATGGTCTGCCTATGAAGGCTTTTCCATGTGCCTGTTTTGGGGTGCTTCCCCAGTAGTTGATATGTTGTTCCCGAATCCAGTCATTTATAAAACCCCGGACTGTACTTTTTGGTACTCCTGGGTTTGTGTCTGGTTCCGGTGTTTCTTCTGACCCTCTTTTTGCAAGTTCGTCAGCCTTTTCGTTGCCTTCGATCCCTTTGTGACCTGGCACCCAAAATAGTTTTACTCTATTTCGGTCTGCAAGTGTTCTTAGTTCTTCGATGCATTTCCATACCAGCCTCGACGTAACTTTCTGACTCGATATGGCCTTAAGTGCCGCTTGGCTGTCTGACATTATTTGAATATGCTGATTTTCGACAGCTCTTTCATTGTTCGTTTTTGCACATTGCAAAATTGCGTATACCTCGGCCTGAAATACCGAGGAATGTATTCCTATAGCATAGCTATGGTTAGTATCAGGGTTTTGGAGAATACTCCTGCCCCAGTGCCTTCCGCAGTCTTAGACCCGTCTGTATACCAGGTTTGTTCCTGTCGTTGGGCATTGGGCTCCCTTATGGTGATCTCCGCTCTTTCCTGTATTAAAACCTCAAAGGGAGTATTAAAAGAGTACCTCTTGGTTATGTGGTCTGATCTCATGTCTAGCACGTCTCCCGTCACTAACCTTGAGATACTCATGTGACCTGGCCTAATGTCAAGATTTCCCAGTGTATTCCCTAATCTGTAAGCACCTAATCTTTCCTCCCCTTGTATCACATAGTGAAGAGGTAGGAGTCCTATTAGTGCTTCCATTGCAGCAGTGGGGGTTGTTTTCATTGCCCCCGTTATTCCGAGGCAGGCAAGTCTTTGTACCTTGCTTAGCCTCATTATTGCTTTCCTTTGCTGTGTCTTTGGCCACCACACCAAAGCTGCGTATGTTATTATGGGTCTCACCACCATGTTATAAAGCCAGTATACCATGTCTGGTTTTAACCCCCATTTTTTTTCAAAGGATCGCCTTGCCATCATTAATGAGGTTTCCGCTCTCCTTGTGGTTCTTTCTAGATGCTGGTTCCAGGTAAGTCTCGAGTCAATCATTACCCCGAGATATTTTACCTCCCCCTTAAGCTGGATGCTTGCACCTCTTAGGTTTAGAGGCCCTAGTCCCTCCAATTTCCTCCTGCGGGTGAATGCAATTATGTCAGATTTGTTTGGGCTAATGTTTAGTCCTTCCGCCTCTTTCCATTTTGTTACTATATTTAGAGCCTCTTGCATTCGATCTCTTACTATAGTGTTGTATTTTCCCTGTGCCATGATCACTAGATCATCGGCATATCCCAGGGTTCTATGTCCCTTATCTTTGAGAGCCCTAAGCCCACTACAAGGTTCCACAGGAGTGGAGACAGCACTCCACCCTGTGGACATCCTCTCGCTTTCCATAAGGAACTACGATAACAATGGGCGTATGACATGGAACCGAAAAAAAAAAAATTAGTAGAGGTACTTATCCTGAGTATGGTATTTATTCTCTTAAATTACATACACAGAGAGTAGTAAAATGTCAATTTTACTCCCTAAAAGTGAGAAATAGAAAAAAAATTACAAGTTAAAAAAAATTGACATGTCAATATTTAAAAGTAAATTTCAGGGAGGTTAGCGGCAATATTAATGTGCATCCACGTTCTTGCAAAAATTAAGCAGTACTCTGTCTGGTCACGCCGTGGATGCCGGTGAATAAATGAGTGAATTTGGGAATGCGGAAGTAGTAAACAATTAAATACTAGCTTAATGTAGTTCAATAGTTCAAGTGGCAGAATTCAAAAAGTATTATTTAAATGCCCAGCTTCCAAATAAAAGTAATGTTTTGTGAATTTTATGCAGATCCTTTAAATTTTTTAGGACATAAATGAATATTGGGAGAGTTTCTTTTGCTTTAAAATAGTCTATAGCAACTTAATGAATTCACCTGATCTAGTGTTATAGTCATGAAAGTTCAAACAGAAATCATTCATTCATATTTTTATGAATTTTAAGAAGTATTTCATACATATAAAGGGAAGGTCAGCATTATTGTTATTTTAAAAATAGATGTTTACAATTCTCTGTAAAGTTTATGACTTTCTTTTGAAGTTTGAAAATTCCATCTACGAAGCAGTAGTTTATGCAAACAGTTATTCCATATTTTATATGGTTATGAAAAAGACAATGAATAACACTAAAAATTTACGTATTACACAATTTGCACTGAAAATCTTGCGACTTACATTATCTATATGTATGTGCCAGTTCAATTTATCATCTACAGAAACTCATAATTTTACGTGACAACGCATGTTACATTTTTGATTTAAATTGACCTAAACATTGACAGACGTGATGAAAAGGAAAATTAGTGTGTTCAACACAAGGTGATTGTGAAAGCCATACCATACAGACAATTTACTCGAGTTGTATAGTATATTTTTCTTCGAACCATTAACGAAAATTTACAGAAATTTAAAAATTAATTTAAAGATTATTATAACAAAATAACAAGTAGTTGAGATTGGCCATTTCTGGACCGGCGGTAATTAGTAATTATCCCAAGTACCCCCACCCCCACTCTTTTCCTGGTTTTATCTTTTTCCTAGTTTTCATCTTTTCTCGGTAATTTGCTTTAAAACTCACCTAATCTTCGTTCATGTGAACGCATGTCGCAACGACGATTGCATCACGTTCTTTTATACTACTACGCATGCGCAAAAATCTTAGTGGTGGGGTAATGATTTATTTGTTTAAACTATTGAGACATTGAATACGAGTAGCTTCTCTAAAAATAACAAAAAATGTCTTCATTGTCAAAAACTGATTATTTGACTCTCTTAAATCTAGATTAAATTAATGCTTTGTCGCCATAGGAGATGATTCAAATTACGAAGTATTTTCTAAAGAATGGTATCACTTAATATTAAATGAAAAGGACTTTAATTTACTTGCTTGTACTCCAAATATTAAATGGTATTCTATTTGTCGATGTCATCTAATAACAGACGATGGTAGTACAGTACATGAACATCCTCACGCTTTAATACATCTTACTAATGGATTTACAATGTTAGTCTACAAGATAAAACTACAGCGCACTGGTACACGACTCCATTCAAAAACAACTTTCAAGAAAATAATTTGCTTGGACCATGCTATTGGTGTCCTCAGTTACATCACCTGTGCTGATGGACAAAAACCGCTTAGAAGGGATGGAGATGGTCTTAGAGGTACACCTCATTCTCATTACGATAGAAGAGTATTCAAACAAGATTGGTTACATTCCCGAGAAAAACAGTGTTGCTTAGTACTCACAGAAATTTCAGAATTAGCATCTGAAGGTGGTAAAGACTTGGAAAAATACACATCTGAAAAAAAACTTTATGATAAATCCGCATGTAGATGTGATAGAGGTGCCGAAGGAATAAGGTAGAGGAAAGAAGCTAACGAGAAACGAAGACAATTTTACAAAACAAAACGAGGAATGGAAATTAGGAATAACTACAAAAAAAAAAATAAGAAAAAGAAACTAATTGCAAGTTCACTGAAAATGGGCCTAAATAAAAAAGCTGAGCTTCAAAGAGAGACAAATTTGAAACTTATTGAGTTACTGTAATACTGTTAGTTTAAAATATAATTTTAAAACAAAATATATTTTATTTTCATTGTCCAATGTTGACTTTACACTATTACAAATAACTTTTCCCCATTTAAATTATTAGCAATATCTTTACTTAAAGTTCACACCAGTACTCTACTGTCCATAGTGAACTACACGTTTTCCATTGAAAAAGCACTGGTGTCCAAGATCCTATGCAATTAGACTCATTACAGTACAGTGGGTACAGAGTAATTGGGAAGTACTTGCTAACTAAATCCCCACTTTTTCTAACCTCCTGCCTCGATATTTATGCCGTGTATGCTTGCGCCCGGCCGGTTCCTCACTATAATCATGGTGGTTGAGAGTCAAGTAGGGATGTCGATTTTTCAAAAAAAAAAAAAAATCGGTTTTTTGGATCGATCTAGATCGCGCTTTTGAAAATCGATCCACTAAAAGATAGTTAATATTAAAATCGATCTATGAAAAATTGATTTTTCGATTTTTTTTTGTTTTAGCTTGTAAAAAAATTAACACAATTTAATTTTACTTTATTGTTTATTTTAATCTAAACACCAATCTTCTCTCTCCAAACAATTCAAAAACAACAGCCTATCAAATCTTTCAGGAGTCAGCCTGCTTCTGTCTTCTGTTAGGATTTGGCCTGCTTCTGAAAAAAGCCTTTCTGATGGTACTGATGTAGCAATAATACAGAAGTATCGTACAGCTATTTTACGAAGGTTGACAAACATTTGGAAGTTCCAAAATTTAATGGGGTTTGTTTTATTCAAATCTTCCAATGGTTGGTTTAAATAAAAAGTAATTTCAGCAGCTTTGTCATTACTGTGCACTTGTGGTCGGTTCTTTTTAATTAAAGTATCATGGTGCCTCCATAAACTAGCAGCTTTTTCCCCAGGTGCATCTACTTCGTCAGGTACTTCATCCTCTTCAAATAATGCGTTGTCATCTTTCATTTCGGAAAGAGTATTCATAATTTTTCTGCTTTTTTTCTTCTTACTTGTCATTTGTCATTAATTATTGGCCTCTTACCGTTTAGGATTTACGTGTCTGCTTATGTACAGCAGGATGAATCATAACAGGTAAAATAAATTGCATCAGGTTAGAACGAAAACTGAATCGTAAAAATTTTAAATAAAGTAGAAAAATCTTAGAAAAAAATCGGCTTCGATTCGCCGAGTAGGTGAATCGATTTTATGCTCTCGAATCGATTCAAAAAATAGATTTTTCTACTAAAAAAGATCGATATTCCGATTAATCGATCTCAAAACGACATCCCTAGAGTCAAGGATGTGCGGACTTCATCCCTCCCCTATTTATGAAAAACAATTATGTCTATTATTTAGAATGTACTTGGGGTACAAAACCCTCTATACACTACAATAGTAATGACCGAGAGGTACTTATTGCACTTTATAACATGCATAGCAATTACTATATATACAAGGTACCTACACTCATTACATTTCAATGTGTATGGAGTAGTGAGAGGTACTTACGATAATCATTACACATGATGTATAGGGTAATTGAAAAGTACTTACTATGCAATTACACTCACTACATCGTAATACTTAATTAAATTAACTTTATATAGTTTTAATCTCAATAACTAAAAATTTTTTTACTGCCAATTAGTTTGACAGAAATGTTACTTATTTAAAATTTAAAAAAAAATAATAGTAGTTGGTTGATCAAAATATGAACTGTGATTGGTGTATTTTATTATTTTTTGTAGTGTTCTTACTACCTAGAATGGATATGAAATATAATAGTTGAACGTAATACCATTCTTTTTCGTTTGGTACTCTATGCGTAGATAATCTAATATCCTTGTGGGTATAGAAAAAATTTATTTTCGTTTCCTAGACGTTTTGCAATTTCATGTTTTCTTTCACTATTATATTATCAGCTTACACTATAAATTATTATTGATAACGTAATAGCGGATTTGCATCCCAATTGTGCACATAAATTAAAGGTATAGCCATTATTTTAAATATAGATTCAGGATATCAAGATACTAACGTTTCGCCAAATAATACTATGTCAAATATTCATCTACTATTAATTTTTCTCATAATCATATTTTGTACTTGAAGTTGGTTAGGGTTATATTTTTGATGTGAAAAATCAAAATTTTCTTATCAATTTTAAAATGAAGTAAAAATGGCACATATACTCGTTTTTTAAGCTGTTAGATACAACTTTATAAAAATATATATTTGTTATTATCCTATGATAATAACTGAAAGTATTATTGAAATCACGCTTTTAATTTCGACAAAACACGTTAAAAACTATTTAATAAACTACATAAAAAAAACGAATCTACCAGTCATATTTTGATTTAATCTTTATGGCCAGATTTCCTTGGTTTTACATTCAACAAATATTTTGTAGTCGTAGGAAAAATATTGTATATCACTTGTGCGAAAGTGATGTTTCACACTCGTGTGATTATTGCACTCGACTTATGCTTTGTGCGACAATACTTCCCACTCATGTGTAAAAATATCACTTTCCACACGCGTAATATAATATACTATAACGGTTGTTACTGAAACATCCCGATATTTGTAAAAAAATCTTTCTGAATGCTCTTAATTTACACGATAGAAGAAAAATTGTTTTACTTATAAACCACTGTGAAGATGGAAGTGTTCGAGGTTTTCTATTTTCGTGCCAAAACTTAAAGCAGAAAATAGTTCGTTTCAAAGAAAATTGTACAAAGAAATAGGTACAAAAAAAAAACTACCGTGCATTAACTTTCCTTCAAATTAATTTTAATTTCAAAGCCGTCATTTTAAGTAATTTCAATTTGTTCGCTGCAATCGAAGAAAACTCCGTCAGCGACGTTTTTACGTTTGTAGGGCCAACCGGTACTTGGCAACCAAATGAGAACAGGACCGGCTAAGAAGATTATTGTAAAACGTGAAAGCACTAAACATAATTTTATTAGAATTCATCAGAATAATATTGAGCATTTCTATTGAACCACGCGATGTAAACAAAAGATCCTTTTATCAAATTTTCTGATGGTATAGTATAATTCTTCCACCATTTTATGTGAGTTGGGGAAGTTCGGAAACTTCATGATCATTTTAAAAAAGAAAAGTCAATTTATTTATTTAAAATTACTTTTTAATAAGCTAGTTCTTAGTTAAATACAATACAAAAATGTTGAATATAGCAGGACTCTCATGGCATATTACAACAGAACCTGATAAACTTCCCTAATCATACCACAATGTGTTTAGAATATTAAAACATAATAAGCTTTCATATTTTTTTTTTTCAAACTTTCGACAGGCTTGTAGCAATTGCAATTAATTTACAATAAAATGAAAAAATAATAATTACAATCAGTGGAAAAGTTATTAATAAAATTTTAGGTGGCTGACTTTTTTGCCAGTTAATGTACAATCGAGGGGTAAACCGCCAGAAAAATTTTGTACACTAATACACATTGTTTCCCAAATAGTATAAAAATAGTTACGAAATAAATGAGATCACTTCAAAAAAATAACTTTATAAAAAACAAAATTAGCAAATTAGCAACGCTAACAATGATTTAATGTTTTTTTTTTTTTTTTTTTTTTTTTTTTAGTTTCGACTTCTATTATTTATAATCATAATATAAAGTGGAACGTTAACATTAATATTTAATTAGTCGAAGGGATTGTTTCGATAACTCCTTCGGGGCTAGATGAGATCTATGGGGTAAAGCAGATTTCTAAATGAGCGGAAAATTCTTTTTTCTTGATCAACTTCTTTGTAATGTAAAATTTGGAAGCTGCATAAATGATTGCTGAAATAATCATAATATATAATACGATGGGATAAAAACTAATTTTTTGAAAAGGCACAGGTCATGTGTCGATGTCTTCTAATTTCAATTTATCTTCTCGGAGTGCACTATGAATATTATAAGTTCAAGCTTTAATGAGTTTATTTGCACTGGTTTGAAATTTATTGCTGAGGTTATAAAATTGTTTATGAAAATTTTTAAACTTGGCAATTTAATATTTTTAAAATTCGGAATTTTGGTTTTAAATCAACTATCTATAATCAGAAAAATTATATTTCTATTAAATAAATACCAATGATATGGACATTGTGTACGTTTTTACCACATTTTTATTTTGTAGCCTCACTATGGGATGTGATAACAATCCATTGGTTTTTTTCTAACTTTTGTATTTTTATTTCGCTGACATTTACTGGAAATTATCGACATTTGTTGATGAATTTAGAATATTTCAAAATGTAAACTTCACAGGGGGAATTCGCAGAAATTCTTAAGGTCTGGACATCTTGGCAGAGGAATCCATCGTGAGTAACTTCTTTGCATCCCAAGTTTGAAAGTGCATATTGTTGCTCATTTGAGAGAAAAAATTTGGATTGAGGAATAATGGTTTTAAAGGATTCTATGGAACGTATAGGTAGAGAGCACATGTGATATTGTATTTCACTATAGGTATTTCTAGTACAAATACAATTTTATTATTTTTACTGTAGCATTTGGTTTCGATTATTTTTTCAAAGTCTGAAATATTATTTAAGAAAAATTCAAATGGACATTTTTCGTTATTGTTAAGGTTTAACTAGTGATATTTCAGAAAATAGTTCGGTTGGATCTACAATAGCATTATGAAATGTATTTATTTTTTCCAGTATGTCATATATAATTTGACAACTAATTGTGAGACGATTTTTTCCAGTGCAAAGTAATGAAAAGTTTCCGTTTTTTATCTTTTGTATTTCATTAATACGTGAGCTCAATATTAATTGATTATGAGCTAATAAATTAGAAT